TGATGACTACAACATAAATGATTTTTATCGACAAAAAACCCCAACAACAATTATTGTGTTTCAGTCAGGCAGAGAGTTCAAAAGGTCTGTTCTCAATGTAATGTACAAATCAATAGCTTTATAGGCTTCTGTTGCTTTTTGCAACTGCTTTTCAACCATAACTATATTGCAGTACTCAAATAATGATGAATCACATGGAAAAGTGGGAAATGTGCATGCTTCTTTCAAAATGTCCAAATCTTCTCTGTTAACTGCATGTAAATATTAATGAGTATTGTATATTTCTGGTACATGAAACATAGTAATTGGTCGTCCACTTGGTGCTATAGCATTTTTTGTTTTCAGTATTTTATGTGAATTCCATTCAGTTTTTATTTCTTCTAATTCAGTCTAATAATAAAACAAATCAAAAATTGTACTTCAGGCAATTGTTATTAACTAATAAATATTTTATGAGCATAATATTATAAAGTTATAGCTTGATTATGGTTAGGTTCTGTTCAGCTTCTTAATTCTATGCTTCCGTAGATTGTCCTATATTCAAAATCAGATTTTTTTAATGAAATTAATTCATTCTTGATGTTTTCATTCTCTTTTTTTAAAATTTCATGTTGCTTATACAAATCGTACATTATTTCGTAATTTTCTTTAGGTGGCATTAATTTTAATACAGTTGGTTCCATTAACTGTTGTTCAATAAACTGGTTATGACACTGTAAAAATGAAAAAAAAGGAATGCATTAATAACATTGTGCTTATACTTTAGAGTAAAATAAGTAGTTATCCTAGTTTATTCTTCATATTAATAAAATTCATTTTTAGTGGGTACCCTCTCTATTTTGTTATAATCTAATCTATTGAACAGTTATAACTGTTAAAAAATATTTAAAATATGTTTAATATTATGTATAATGCTAATATTTTAATTGAGTTAGTATTGATATCATAAATAAAGCTGATTCAGGCTCCTAATTAAATTAATGGGTAATTAATTAAATATAATATATTTTGGCCCTTCTATTCAACTACATGACTAACAACACCTAATACAGTTTAAACATAATTTCATAATTCAGTTAACATACCACTTTATACATTTTCGCCTCCATTCTACTTCTACACCCTAAAGCTGTTGATGTTTCAGTGGATAGACAGTTGGGTAAGTTTACTGTAGGCACTACATTTGGTTTCAGTCTCCTGACAGGTTTTTTTCCTAAGAGTTCAGCTTTCAAATCACGTTCAAAGTCATCGGTATTGAAATGTTCTGAACACACATATGACGTATTAGGATTCCAAATGTCTGCTCGCTTGCATTTTTGTACCCACAAGTTTTGAAGAACGGTGTCCATTAGAAACCTTTAAACGGGGGTAAATTCAACAAATAAAATTAGTAAATTTAATTGAAGATATATTATAATACAATATAATATAATAATATAACTAATACCTGTGAAATGATACATCAGTCCTTCCATCTTTTTTTATTTTACCGGAATAAGAAATACATGTTGCAACAGCACAACTTGAGCCTCCTTTAGTACCCATAATTCAACTAGTCAATTTAATACTACAGTAAAAATTTTAGAATATCAGTTAATTCAATAAACACAAAAACACTACGGCAGCATATAACGTATTTACTTACGATGTACAACAGCGTGTACGGCAGTGACGTATTACCCCCACTGCTTATATTTCATAAATTCGACAGTGAGGCAACCTCTAGTATCTATAAACCTTGCTTATCACCACCCACCACCAGATAAGATTGTTGTTGTCTTTTTGTGTTATAGTGTTATACTATGTTCGGCACCGTGTATCACATATTATACAAAATCTATTTTTTGTTAGGTATGATCCACGATGTAGGTAAAACGGTGTAGTCTCTATCAATTGTACGTATGAGAAATAAATTTTTATTTTTATTTTTATTTGGCATAAACAATCTATACTATTTGAAACACAATAAGTTTATATAATAAGAGTAATAGAACATGATTGTTTTGAATAAACAGCCACCCATTAGTGGTTCTTGGCTAATGATTTTTTTTTTGTTTTTTTTAATTGTTTATATTATTATTATTATTATTCAGAGAGTTAGACATTAAAGTTTTGTAAAAGGTCACGACACCACTTTCTTTTGAACCTACGGTTTGGGTTTCCTGGGAGTGTAATGATAGAAAGGTCTGTTATAAGAGGATTTGTATGGGTTTGAAGTCGTTTATGGAAACGTGTATAGAAAATGCGTGCTTCCGCTTCTATTGTTCTCATACAGAGATCGTTATGAAGGGCTAGATTAAAAATAAATTAGTACCATTTTTACGGCAGCTTCGTTACACAATTGCCCACCAGGAAGCGCTAAGTAGGCCGGTTTTAGAAATATTTTATAAACAATATCATAGGCGCAATTTGGGGAGTGCTTGGGGTGCTTAGCACTCCCAAATTCATATTAGAACCCCCAAAATTTTGATGGCATCATCGAATTTTTATTGACCACGACGTATACTTGGTTTAATATTATGCCACAGGTATTTGAATACATTTATTTCTAAGACCTAATCATTTTAATAATAATAGATAGGTAGATATCTATCAGAATACTGAATAATAATATGTATTACGTTATAGGTAATTGTTCAAATTAAGATTAATGCGAAGGTGTATGAATGGAGGGGGACAATTTATTCGACATAATACTAGCACCCCCCATAAATTTATCCCAAATTGCGCCTATGAGCAATATGTTTTATTACAGTATATTTGTTTTGAATAATAAACATAATATTATTAACATATTGATGAACATTGTTTATTTATATTTTATTATTCTTTAGTACCACACTACCAAATTGTAGAACTATTACCATCTACCTAAAACTTATTAATTTTTAAACATATTTCATATAGTCCTAATTAATATGCCTAACAAATGTTTTGTTCCTGCATGTACATCTGGCTATTTGAGTAATACTAAAAAAATAAAAGCAGAAGGGAAGAATGTACCATCTATGTTCCATCCACCACAAGTTATTCTTACCCAATAGTTATTTTTTTGTTTTAAATTATAATAAAATTGTGTGTACTTATGTACTTTAACATACCTGTAACCCAAATTAACGCGCTGACCACCACGAGGACTCCGGTGTCCACAATTTTTTTTTATTATTCTACTGATCTTTATGTAACAATTTTTTTTTAAGACAAAAGAAAACTATACAATATATAAGTTTATAACTGAATACTAAAATAATTAAATATACAATTAATTATCCATCATACCTATAATAATGAACGGGCTTAATACAAATTTAATGTTTGCATAATGTTATTATATCAAAATTTTCTCCAGGTTTCTTATATTCTAAATTAACTTTTAGAGACTTTATATTTTTAAGAAGACTAACAAGTAGGATGTTTGAATAGGTAGTCTAAATTCTTTATTTATTAATAATCAACGGGCCTAAGCTCTTTAACAAGAAAAAAACATTGCCTAATAATTGGCCAATTTAAAACTAATAACAGAGGGATAAATAAAAATACAACTAGAAAGACAGAAAAAAAAAATAACAAAAAGAGAATATTATATCTATAAAAACAAAAATATAAAATTAATTAATCAAATTATGTTGTATTCTGCCAATAATTTATAATTAAATCATCCATAAACATGAATATAACATTTGTTATAACCATACCTGCATTGTGTTATTAATTTATTCGATTTATTTAATACACCCTACTCTCCTATCATTAATATTAAGCTTTCCTGTACGTTACAAGTACTGCACGGCCAGCTGGCGAAATTTGATCAATAGCTCCTTGACGGTGAGCAAATAAAACCAGTGGATTTACAGCGACGTTGGAAGCTCCTTCAACAAACCTTTCAAACTTTTTGGCGAAGATGGTTGTCAGAATATTTGAACGCATTGCAATCTAGAAGGAGTCGCTAGTTGTCAAGTCAATAAAATGTGAAAGTAGGAGACATGGTGGTTTTAAAAGATAATACTGCACCACTACTACTCTGGCGTTTGGGTCGCATCCTTGAGGTGATGCCTAGTAAAGGTACGGTTTCCTATGTGTGACTGGCTGCATACGACTGGTCGCAATGACTAGTCGCAACGGGATTAGGTAAATTGAGTCCCAAACAAAATTACTGAACAAACAAAATTACTGTTTTTCAAAAGCGGTGATTGAGTCTCTTGTATAAAAGTTAAAGCGGTGAATTGAGTCCCCTGTATAAAAGTTAAAGCGGTGAATTGAGTTCCTCGTATATTATTAGACTAGTTTTCAAAATCACCTATAAGTATAATCGCGCGTGCACCATTAGTTATTGCGAGCATATAAGCACACCAATATCGCGTATTAGAGCGCTTTCAGACGAGACACTTTGTGGCCGGCTACAAGAATCTTGCCACTGTACACAAAAAGTAGACATTGCTTCACACGAGACACTACACCATACACTCGTGTCCGATTCACTACACTGAAATGTATAAAAATGTTTTCCAGACGCCTATTCGTGGTGCGAGCTCTTGGTTTTAAAATACTTAAATACTAAAATACGTATACATTTTTTATTTTTTAAAATGGACGTAGATACAGCAATCATGCTTTATGCCTTAATAATTAAAAAACGAAACAAAAAAAATTAAAAAACAAAGACCATTGTGGGTACATTCAATTGTCAGTCAAAGAAATGAAAAAGGACATTTTCAAAATTTATTTCCTGATCTCTTACAATACCCTTCAAAGTTTTTTTAATTATTTTCGTAAGGTAAGTTTATTTTTTATCTATATAGATAATTAAGATATAAAACGTACTATAAAATATAAGAACAGTTGAAATAAAATAAAATAAAAAATAAACACCTTTGTAAAAATAATATTAAAATAAAATAATAATGATAAAACAACTTGCTATAAATCAACCAGAAATATAAAAGTTAAAGAAATTACTTAAATAATAATAGATAAACAATTTTATTTATGTTATGAATGTATCAATCATTAATATTGTAATCATTTATATATGTTACTAAATTTGGTTCATTTGATGACTGATTAGAATATGTTTCAATAGGAGAGACGTAGCTTTGTGACGATACTGATAGAGAAGTTGACCTCGATGTTGATGAGTGATTAGATGAACAAGGGCTAGGTTGTTGTTCCCCATTTATCACTAATGGTTGTTGAAAGCTGGGTTGTGGTCGGTGATATTGAGTATTATATTGTGTATGGTGAATTAAGGGTGACATGGGGATACTGTACCGCTTATTAAGTTGACAATATGGATCAAAATTCACCGTCATGCCTGGAGGTTTTTGCATCTGCAATCCATTAGATATAGCTTGCATAATATTCGATTTTACTGACTTATTTTTAAATGGGCAGGTACTTGCTTAAGGTCATCAACAAGTGACAACATAAACAAGCGATCTGGATCTTCCATTTATACTTATTCTCTGCGTTCCCTGTCTTGTAAACTTTTCGTTACAGAGTTGAAAAATTCATTTTCATATTCATTTTCAACAGTTTTTTGCTTTTTGGCGGGTTTGTGACGTAAAACATTTTCTAAAACTTCTCCAGTAGTTTTATTCAAGTCGCTATTAACTTCTTCAATGTCATTTTCATTTTCATCTGGAGAATCATGTGATGAACTTAAATTTGAAGTTGTCAGTTTATTTGCTGCACAAGAAGAAAGAAACGATAATTGATTATAATAAACATATGTTTTCCATGTACTTCCTCCTGACCCAGATTTCAAATTCTTTCTTTTAGCCTGTTCTCTAGAAAATGAGTTCCTCAAACTCTTCCACTTTCTTTGTAACTCTTGCACTACAGTCTAAAACATTTCATAAAGTATATTTTATTTGTAGGTTAATTATTTTTATTGAATTATATAAATAAAATAATAATACATTTAGTAGAAGGGTCTTTAGAAATTTTTTGTTATTTGTCGAATATTCTTTATTTCCAGATATCTCGCGTCAGGATGTACATTAACAGAACTTCATTATGATTACAGAATTGGAGTATCTACATTGAGTAATATCATACAAGAGACTTGTGTTGCAATTTGGGATAATTTAAAAAAATGCATATATGCCAGAGCCAACGAAAGAAAAATGAGTGGAAATTGCAGAACTCTATAGTAGCATTACAAATTTTCCTAACTGTATTGGCGCGATTGATGGAAAACACATCAGGGTAGTCAAACCAGCACATAGCGGCTCATTATACTACAACTATAAACATTTTTTTTCGATTGTTCTCTTAGCTGTTTGTGACGCAAATTATTGTTTTATCGCCGTAGATATCGGAGACTACGGAAAAAAATAGCGATTCGTCAATTTTTAAAAACTCAAATTTTTACAAAAAAATGATTAAAAAAGAACTGTCCATTCCCGAAGATTCAGTACTTCCAGGAGCGAGTGACTATAAACTGCCTTACGTAATTGTGGGAGATGAAGCGTTTGGTTTAAGTCATAATGTAATGCGTCCATATGCCGGAAAAAATGTACCACTAAAGAAAAGAGTGTTTAACTATAGCCTTTCAAGAGCTCGTCGATTTATTGAGTGTGCTTTTGGTATTATGTCTAATAAATGGAGAATATTTCATAGGCCATTAAATGTATCCGAACCATTCGCTGAAAATATTATAAAAGCGTGTGTACTATTACACAATTTTGTTCGTGTTCGAGATAGTAATTCATTAAGATTTGAAGACACATTATCATATGAAGGGTTTCATATGAAAATGAAAGAACAGACAACTATCCAGGAAAAACACCTACTACAATTCGTGTTAAATTTGCTGATTACTTTATGGGCGAAGGGAGTGTTCCTTGGCAATTAGATAGCATAAACAAGTAAAAATATAATTTAATTATAGGTGATCTAAGTAAAATAGTTAAGTAAAAAATAAATTAAACTATTAAAGTATAATATTATGTATGTATTGCCTATTTGTTTTGAATAAACTAATACTTTCTTAAAATATAATGTAAATGTGTTATATGAATGCTTACAAACTTCTTTTTGTTGATTTGTTGCCATTGAGTCATATCCTTCATGGAACAGTCGACATATTTCCATCCACGAGTTTTGTTTAATTATTTTATTTGCATAATTAGGACTTGCTGTATCCCATAATTCTACACGCTTCTCAATTTCGATTATAAATTTGTCTGTATCGAGACTCATTGTACATATTATATTACATAAAACTATATAAGTTTTTCGAAAAATACTGTAACACGTTATATTATAACGTGTTCACTAATTAAAAAATAATTTTACGTAATTTAAAAATCTAAATAATCTGGAGTCGGAGTGTCTCGTCTGAACGTACTAATTTAATTTAATTTGTTATCAGTGGCTCGGACGCAGACACAGTGTCCGGCGGCTAGAAGGTACGGGACACGCAACTTCTGTGGCGCGACACACACTCCGTGTCGTGTGTATGAGTGTATTTATAGCAATGTTATCTTAGTCGCGGGATTCTTTTCAGACACAAGTAGCCGACCACAAAGTGTCTCGTCTGAAAGCGCTCTTAAGGTCAATTCACACATGTCCGGTCCGTTACCGTACCGTCCGTTCAGTGATACTACTGTCAAATGGCAGGTAATTCACACAGTCCGTCCGGTATTCCATTTTGTGCACTAGGTTTGATTTACGAATTTCATGTTCGTTCAGTGACAAACAGAACTTGTGTAAGAGCGTTTTCATAACCTATTTTTTAATATGGACAATTTAGAAGTAGAAGATTTAGCAATGATTGCGATACTACTGGATGAAGATGAGGCAGCAAAAAAACAAGTAGTAAAAAAAAGAAAACGAACATGGGTACATGTTTTGTAAAAGAAAAGAAAAATTGAAGGAGAATTTGCAACACTTTATAATGAGTTAATAGACCATGATACCAAGTTCTATGAGTATTTTCGGATGTCCAAATATAGTTTTGATATTTTATTATTAAAAATTCAAGATGATATAAAAAGACAAGACACTCATTGGACGTTGGTGATAACTCCCATGGAAAGACTAGCAGTAACTCTAAGGTAGGTGCCTGAACAATCATTATTATATTATACCTACGTATTTGTAAGTATATATTTATATATATAGATACCACATTGTTTGATATTCAATTTTTTCAAATTGTCATTTACATTTGTACGTATAATTTATATACCTAGGTATAGGTTAGGTTAGGTATACACTATACCCTATGCTGTGTTAAGATAAATATTATACAGAGTGTAACAGGACGACCCGAAAAATGAAATAACTTTTGTACTCCTATAATATAAAAAAAATATTTTAATACTTTAATATTGGAAATTTTAAATTTTAAATTTGATTTAATAAATTGTTTTGGAAAAATTTAAACTAGTCAATTCATAAATATGATTATGGGAATAATTTTAATGGTAAAAATATTTATCTATCTCAACTAGTTTATTTTGCAAAATTTTATAAATATTAATATTTATTTGAGTAAATTAATTTAGAACGTAAGTAATCATTTTTTCAAAATATGATGACATGAGTATATCTCTTTAATTATTTATTAACAGTATAATTTTTACAATTGTTAACATTCATATACAGTACTCCCTCGTTAACACGAACTCGGTTAACACAAATTATTGTATAACGCGAACCGGTTTTTCAGTCCAGAGAAAGGCTCTATACTATAAGATAGGGGTTTTTTTATTTCCTCGGTTTATACGAATTATTTCGGTTAACACGAAACTCGAACAAATTTTAGGTACCATATTGTCGTTTTGTTGATTAACACGAACAGAAAAATGTCAATCTGTACATATAATATATCTAATTTCGTTTTATTACTCGTATACTAGTCGTTAGTAATTTAATCTTTATAACACAGTTTTATCGATATCTTATCTTATCCCTACTACATATGTATGTACATATTCTCTATTGTAGGTACATACATATGTATACATGTGTACATTTGTATGTGTGCAATCTAGTTCGGCGATAATCGCTCTCGTTTAAACTAATAATTGCTCTATCAATCAGTTCACAGTTGGTCAGTTGACTTTGTTGGTGTCGTTAGTGATTGACCAAAATGAGTTTGAAAAGGAAGCAAATGTCTATAGATCTAAAAACTAAGCAACTAATTTTAGTAGAAGTCGAAAAAGGTACACTGCCTAAAACCAAAATCGCGGAGAAATTTGGCATTCCAAAATCAACATTATCAACAATTATTAAAAATAAAGATAAGATTGACGAAGCAGTTGCGCTTGGTTCAACCAACAGTACAAAGCGTCTACGAAAACCCTTAATAAAACTTAATAAACTTAATAAAAAAAATGTATTTGAGTGTAAAATAACGTATTAGATTTAACCTTCTCTGATAACACGAACAAATTCGTGTTAAACCTATCGGTTTACACAAATTTTTTTAACACGAACATGTTATTTTGTGGTCCCGTCGTGTTCGTGTTAACGAGGGAGTACTGTAAGTAGCATTTTTTTTTTTTTGTTTTATGTTAGGTCTTATCGTTACAACCTGTATAATACTATAGTATTTCATAAAATAGTACAATATACATTTTATATAAAGGTAGGTATTTCACATTTTAGAAATATACTTTAGAAGAAAGGTATACAGGGTGATTTTTTTATCGAAGAACACTCATTATTTCAAAAAGTATTAATGTTTAAGAAAATATTTTTTTACATAGTTTCAAGTTGTTAAAAAACAATATTTTTATTAAAAAATTATATTTTTAAATATTTTTTATCCTTTTAATTTTTTAAGTTTTTTACTTTTTTGAATGACAACATCTAATTTTAATTTTATATTCAAAAACAGAATATTTTTCTGAGTATTTCGATACATAAAAATTGAATTTAGGGCAATTAGTTTATGAGTTATAAGTATTTAAAGTTTAGATGAGCGGAGTAGAGTGGTACGGGGTTACCCCGCGAAATGTTTGTCCTCTACTCCGCTCATCTAAACTTTAAATACTTATAACTCATAAACTAATTGCCCTAAATTCAATTTTTATGTATCGAAATACTCAGAAAAATATTCTGTTTTTGAATATCAAATTAAAATTAGATGTTGTCATTCAAAAAAGTAAAAAACTTAAAAAATTAAAAGGATAAAAAATATTTAAAAATATAATTTTTTAATAAAAATATTGTTTTTTAACAACTTGAAACTATGTAAAAAAATATTTTCTTAAACATTAATACTTTTTGAAATAATGAGTGTTCTTCGATAAAAAAATCACCCTGTATATTATATTTATAATATATATATTTTTTAATTTCATCTGAATATTAAAAATTACATTTTAAAATTTAAAATAAC